TATTAATTTCCATTATTTACATGAGTTTCTCAGAAGCCAGATTGTGTTCTCCTAGATTAGACCCCAATACATACCATAAAGCATAAGCCAGATTGGTTTCTCTTAGAAGACACCATAATAAAACCCATAAAACAGGAAGAGATTCATATAGAACTAGTCTACTTTGTGACATTGCTGCTTAATTGTTCTTATTTATACCATTGTAGTAATGGGCTCCACAATTGCTTTTTAATTTACCAAAGGGGATGTGGGGGCTTGCTGGGTGGGGGATGAGGGGAGAGAAAGAAAGAGAGAAAGAGAAGGAGAGAAAGAAAGAAAGGAAAAGAAGACAGCTAAAATGTCAACTAGATTGAGGAAGTGCAACCATAAAGAATTTAGTATCTGGACACAAAAAAAGTTGGTAAAATATAGGACAAAGGAATACTATATAGCTGTGAATGTGCTATGTTAAAATCCCATCCCTTTTTGGAAACTGAAGTCCCAGCAACACATTCTACTGGTCGAGTGTGGAAAAGGTAAGACTCCTACCTTAAGAATTAAATACGAGGTTTTGAGGCAGATTTGTAAAAATTTATTTTAGATAGAAAATGCAAAATAGAAATAATACATTCTGAATAAACTATTTTTAATATCTTCTATTTCAAAATGATTTGAAACTCTCAGAAAGGCTGCATAAGATGTATAAAGAGTTTCCTTATATGTTACATCACAGTTCTTATGCTAACAACTTACATAGCAACAGTACACTTATCAAGAATAAGAAATTAACATTGGAACATTTTAATTATACCAAAAGTTTATTATAATTTTATTTATTTTTCACCAATTTTTCATATGTGCTAGAATCCTTTAAGATTATACACTGTATATAATTACTATTTATGTTTGTCTCTTCTAGTTGGTAAAAGCTCCTTGGTCTTTTTAATTGGACAAGTTCTATAAGTAAAGCAGTTGAAAAGAAATATGAACCAAAAGGATTTTTAAACCAAGGAAGTATCTTGGATAGCTATGAACATCATTTCTTTTAGGTTTATTTATTTATTTCTTCCATGACTGTGACAAGAGAATCAAAAACATATTATTGATGCTCTAATACAATATCAGTCTCAGCCAGTCTCAGACAGGAAAAGAGTGTGTCCAGCATAGTCAAGGAGGTCTCCAAAACTGAACTGGTAGCCTTCACTTATGGGCCACCTTCACAGAGAGCAATGTTTCACGGCTGCACCTCTATGAACATTATTTTAAAATATTTCTTTCTCCTTGGGGTAGAAAAGGGGGAGGGGAGTAATGATTGAGATATGATGGACAGGTGGCGCACACTTGCTCCATGGCAAGAACTACCACCCATGTCATATTAGTCTTCATGATTCTATAAAATAGGTACTATTGTGTTAACATTGCAGGTGACATATCTTATTGAGGGAGGTCAAGTGTCTTGTCCAAGAGCTGTACAACTGATATGGTACAGAGACAAGATCAAACTCGAGGTCCTCGTATTTATTAGAGCACAGTACATTATCATAAACAAGCCTTATCAGCTGTCAGGATAGAGGAATAAGAAGATTGGCAAAGAAGGCTCCCCCACCACAGATGGTCAGAGAATGCACCATGGGCTGGACAAATCAATCCTATCAGTGAGCAAGGTCCTCAGATAAAAGTTCTTACTAAGAAGAGGTAAAACGCTTTATCTGTGTTCCTACCAACAAAAATTGCACTTGGATTACACACAGAAATCTTAGTAAGAAAATCTGGAGAACTCTTCAGACCATGCAGAAAAAGAGACCTTTGCTTTTTACCACTGCCTTTACTTGCCTTATTTTATTAAGTATTATTTCCTTTGGTGGCCCACAAGGGCTTATGCATTTGGACAAGCACTGGAAATTGCTGATGTATCGCGAAAAATAAACCTTCTTTAGAAACCATAGGGGAAACTCAGTAACTAGGGAATTAGAATGTGATACATACTGCTGAGAATTTTCTCCTAAGGACATATTCCAGAATGGCACAGTCTGAAAAAAAAAAAAAAAAAAAAAAAAAAAAAAAAAAAAAAAAGCTCCTTTGGGAAAATATGAAGTGCCAACTAAAATTACGTATTTTACAAGTAACTACTCACTTCTGTTGGCAAATACAGGTAGAGATAGATGTATACACATGATCTATGAGTCTCAGAGTTTTATTTCCTTCCACAGATGATGCCCAATAGTGAAAAACAAAGTCGAAGTCTTTGGAGAGACAGGCAAAACTCGGAAAGCCAAGAAATTGAAACTACATTTTTGGGGGTATAGAGAGAAAAAAGTGCCCATTATTATTTCCCCTGGATCCCTTCTATCCACCAGCTATTTCAATTTTCTCTTTACTAAGTCATACTGTTCATGCTTTTATTAGTGCATTCTATTTCTACTACTGACCTTGGTCAGGTTCTTAATGACTGACGGGCTCTAGAATTCATTTACCAAAACCTGGATTGTGTCAATATGTGTGCTCAGAGTGAATATATGTGATGTTGATTAGTTAAAATCAGAACATTTAATGGCATAAATTGGACAATTTGATAAAGTAACAGAAAATGTGTATCAATCCAATTTCCTTTCCATTGATCGTTCTTTTCCATTCATGGATTTTAGAGAAAGATGAGGCCAATACATACTTAGACATTTTTGCCTCTTTAGTGATCATCCAATCATAGGAATGAATACAAAGATGCCAACTTTAGTACAAGAGTAGTATCTTAATTTAAATTTTGAAGTGTTTTTATATTTATAATCAAAATGATAGATCCATTGAAGAAAGTATGAAAAATATGAAAATATAATCATAAATGTAAAACACTTGATAACTGAATATTCAAGAAAACTACACTTAGTATTTTGGTATGCTTTCTTTAAGATACATATATCTATAAAACTGTGAAATACACATTGCCATGAACGCTGTTTTTATCATATAATATTATGTCATGTGCATTTGCCTTTGTGCTTAACTCTTCTTCACTGTAATTTTCAGTGGTATAACAAAGGCAGATACACTTCCTCATATTATCAAAGGATAAAAAATATATCTTTTGGACGGATATTTCAGAAAATAATTTTAAATAACAATGATGACATAATAAGCGATCTTTGCCTTCCAGTTTAAGATAAGACTGTGTACAAAAGTGTAAAGAAAAAAATTTTAATGTAAATGAGAGGTTTTTAGTATGGCTATTGCAAAGCAGGGGGAGGAAGGGTAACTAGTGGCTTCAGAATTTCCTTACTAGAGGGATTTAGGATTAGCAATTTGGCTGAGGAGGACTTTTTTTGAAGTCATATAATGAAGCAAGTATACTGTTTTGCCTCAGATTATATTGTTCTATTGAACTGCTTTTTAAGGTAGACCAATGAAGAATATAAAAGAGGAAACCTTAAGGCAATGCTTTCTCTGTTGACACAGTCAAGAGGTGGGAAATATGGAAATATTGTAAAACATGGGGAGGTCAAACAGGAGCTTTTATAGTGGGATAATTGAGTGATAATAAGGTTACTTTTAAAACTTTCTTTCATTTGCCCTAAATACCAGAAAAAATGCCATCTCTCATCAAAAAGAAGGGAAAAAGAGAGCTGCTGTTCCTACATTGCTTTCTCTTTAAACCCACTCTTGCAAGATACAAATGCAAAGTGCAGTGCCTGTTCTTTCAGAATAAGAAAAAGCTACTTCTCTCCTTTTCCAAGTCTTCTCTTCCTCCACTGCAAATTCAAAATAGCTGTGCTCAAACAAATCAAAACTGCCTCAATTCACACTTTGAGGAAAACCAATCCATGTGTGGTGTGTGTTTGGGAAAATGTCAGTTATCCTTTCCTCTTTGGTCAGTTCATTCTCAATCTGGTTGTCCCATAAATTGGCAAAGATGGCCAGGAGAAGTCACATATTCTATCAATATAGAGAACTTTGAAGAAAGAGAAACTCTTGCCCCCATCATGTTGGTACAGCCAGTAAGCCAATGCTCTACAATGCAGGAGACATAAGGGGAGCTCTGGAGCTCAGAGTCTGGTAGACCTAAATACGTCATAAACATTTATGATCCTGGCTTGAAAGCTGAGGTGCAGGGCAGGGGTGAATAGTGTGTCAAGATCCTGTTCAGGGTCTCTCTCTCATAAAAATAAGACAGAATGAAGTACTTTTTAAAAAGAAAGAGTAATATTTTTCTGATTTAAAGTTGGGAAACATTATTGCAATTAATATCCAGTTAGGATGGCTAGGTCATATGTAACTCTGAATGAATCACTCAGGCTAGGGGAGATACTTACTTTTCATTTTCCAGATCTGTGTTTCTTGGTTACTATCAATCCAGACAGGGGGATTAGCACTATTCATCAAAACATGGACTAAGAATGGAAGAAGCTTTCTTTTTATTTTTTTCTAAATCTGAGGGGAGATCTAATAATTATAATTTAAAATACAATCATAAATATAATCACAGATAAAATATTTTAACCACATAATGGGCACCTTAGATATTTATCTAATTTAATGCAACAAATTACCAGAGTTATTTCTTCCTCAGATGAGCTAACTGAAATTTGGGAAGTTAATTTATTTACCTAAAGTCACTTACAAGTTAAATGATACAGGCTAACTTTATATATTATTTTGAAATAGAACTAGCTTCATTAAAAAGCAGATTTTATTTCATAATATTCATTAATAATGATGTCTCTGTGTGCACATTTGGAATGGTGCTGTCCCTACCTGTTATTTTACTAGAGGGCCTAACATTTCACACTGTAATTCTGCTGTTATTGGTAGCCTGCTCTCTGCTACTATGTGGAACTAAAAAGCATTGAATCTCTAATTTCAGCTTTATTGTCCATAGACTTGAAATTATATCCATATGTACCCTGATATACAGAGTTATTCTAAAAATTAAGTGAAATAATACAACCGAAAGTAACTTCTAAAACTAAGCAGTAAATTTAAATTACCCCAAGTCATTTCCCTCTATAAAATTTGCAGGTGACAAACACATGAAGACAGAGAATTTCTCTGCCGTGACTGAATTCTTTCTGGTGGGGCTTTCCAGATACCCAGAGCTCCAGCTTTCTTTGTTCATGCTCTGCCTCATCATGTACCTGATAATCCTTCTGGGAAATAGCCTCCTCATTATCGTCAGCATACTGGATTCTCGCCTCCACACCCCTATGTACTTCTTTCTTGGAAACCTCTCATTCTTGGACATCTGTTACACTTCCTCTTTCATTCCACCAATGCTCATCATATTTAGGTCTGAGAGAAAATCTATCTCCTTTCTTGGCTGTGCTCTACAGATGGTTATCTCCCTTGGCTTGGGTTGCACTGAGTGTGTTCTCCTTGCTGTAATGGCCTATGACCGGTATGTGGCCATCTGCAATCCACTGAGGTATCCCATCATCATGAACAGGGTGCGATATGTGCACATGGCTGCATGGTCCTGGGTCATAGGCTATATGATCTCCCTGGTGCAAACAACCATGGCAATGGTATTGCCTTTCTGTGGGAATAATGTCATTGACCATCTTACCTGTGAATTGCTGGCTGTTCTTAAACTCATATGCTCAGATATCACCATTAATGTGCTTATCATGAGAGTGGGAGGTATTGTTATACTGATCATTCCTCTACTATCAATTTTTATTTCTTATGTTTTCATTCTCTCTACCATCCTGAGACTTAAATCTGCTGAAGGGAGAAAGAAAGCCTTTTCTACATGTTCAGCTCACCTGACTGTGGTCATTTTATTTTATGGTTCAGCCCTTTTTATGTACATGAAGCCCAAGTCAAAAGACACAAAGATATCTGATGAGATCATCGGACTGTTTTATGGAGTTGTAACACCAATGTTAAACCCCATCATCTACAGCCTGAGGAATAAGGAGGTCAAGGATGCTGCAAACAAAGTTCTGAATCGACACCTGCATGTATTGAAAAAATAAAATCTCTTAAAAATGTAATACCTATATTTTTGAAAAGGTAAGTTTCTCATATTAACAACATGAAGTTCCAGAATCCAGTTTGAACCACAGATTTGTGGTTATAAAGTCAAATGCAGGACTCTCACTTTTGCACTGAGAATGCTCATGTAAACTTTTTCATGTCATATTTTTGTAGTAAGCTGTTGAGTCATACACATCTCTCTTTCTTTCTCTTGGAAGTATCCATAGATGAATTATCTCTAACTCCATCTACCTTAACCTCTTCTTACTTCTCTCCTCCTTCTTTCTCTTTCTTTCACCTCTTTCTTCTTCCTCAGTCTCTTCAAATTGTATGTGTGTGTGTGTGTGTGTGTGTGTATTTAGATCTACCTAGTATTCCTTCTTCTGGTAAAAGAATGCTTCTTTTCATCATAAGGAATAATCTTCTCATATTCAGTCCATATTTTACTTGGTGAAGTTGGCTCTGTTATAAGCATGAAATGCAGTTCTAGTCAGTACAAAATAAACGTCTGCTTAGTAACAATGATTCACTGAGAGTTGCAGGCAACCTAAGTCACTCTAATCAGACTTAACTGTAGGAATGTTGTCTGAGTATTAGAAAAGAATTACTCTATCTTCAAAGGTCTCTAAGCTGGTAAAATACATGCCTTTTCCGGGCTGTTTTGCCAATTTATGGGGAAATCCAAACTGAGAATGAAATTGAAGAGGAAATGATAGCTGAGGGGAAATAACAGGTGTGTGCAATGTCACTTTATGTCCTGCATCAAGCTGGCTCTAAAGACTGGTTCATGCTCACACTTTTCAGGCATGTGAGCCAAGAAAGTTCTTTTAAAACATAGTCTTGAGTTGTTTTCCATTGCTTACCACCACATAACTTTTTGAGTAATGCATTCCCCTATCTTACTTAAACTCTCTCGCTCCCTTCACTAATTCCTAACTCTAATTTGTCCTCTGCATTTCCTTTTTCTTATCTTGGTCTGTATGTATTGCTTTCTCCCTTTCTCATCTTGTACTCTGTTTCCATCTCTTTCTCTTTCTTAATCTCTCATTCTTTTTCTTTCTCTCAAAGACATGCTTAATTTTTAGATAAAGAATCACAAATGCTTTAGGAGTCTACCATTCCTTCTGTAGTCAAATTATAATTATATAACGTTACTTTCCATGGATGGACACAGTTTATACCTCTTTCAAAGTATTTCTGATGACTTTTTACATTGTTCCTTTTGGTCATTTTTAACCTCCAACCTATAATACTGTTTCTCCATCCTGTTTACTGATAATCATATAATTACCTTCCATCCTACATATGTTCTCTACAGTCCATACTTTGTCTTTAAAAATGTATTGTAAAACAAATAAATAAAAATTTAGACAAAACCTTTTTAAGAGATTTTTTTGCTGTAAGGTGTGTACACTCAAGGAGAGAAAGAGACACAGAAAGTGATAAATCATCCCCCAGTGAGGATAGCCATGCCACAGGTCCTTCTCCTCCATGTCCTCTCAGGATTTGGGGCACACACGCACAAACACCCAACGTGAGTTTTAGCCAATGGGTTCGGGACTCAAACTACAGTCACGGGAGTCCAGTGATGTAACCATTACATCAAATTTTAATATAGTTTACCTAAACAAAGGGTGTGTTGAATCAGGCTGTTTCCCAAAATGGCTTCCAAAGAATTCTAGGTAGCTTCTTGATTGTCATATTTATATTCAAGAAAGGGGAAGTAACATATGCAGGAAAGGGAAAGTCATGTATAAAAACAAAAGGGAGAGAATAAAGTAGAGAAATAATTGTTTTGGTTATGCTGAATGCATGAACAGTCTAAAAGACAGGCTCTCTGTGATTGGCTAAAGTGTGGATAATGGAACTGGCTGTAACTTAGCAATTTCACTAAGGAACTAGAATAACGTGTGATTTCAGTTTCTCCGTAGGAATCCAAGTGTGAGAGTACAGCTGCTATTTCACAGTAAAATAGATTGGCTTAACTGTCTGCATGAGTACCTTTAAACACAGACACACACACAGACACACTCAAAAAGTTGTCTTATCAACAGACTACTGAGCCTGGGAATAAGATAATCATAAAAGTAAAGAAGAGCTTTTTTACTGAATATCACTGATGTTAATATGTACTAGACATGCTTCTTCACAATGCCTCCTTAAAGTTATTTCCCTCTTTAGCCACTGGCCAGTCACCATGTTGCTGAGGTCTATTCATTTCCTTCTATAAGCAACAGGGTTAATCCAATATATATATATATATATATACCTAAAAGCATCCCTTTCATGCTCCTTCTAAAAACAAATGTGAGTCTACCCCAAAAACAGATGGCAGCTTCTACTGTAAGAAATGAAGTTCATGACTTCTTAAACTGTGTCTCATCATCATACCAGTCATCAAGACATACTGGAGTCCAACACCTTGTTTCATGTATATGTTACGCGCTTCAGGAATAGAGAAAAAAGAAAAGAAAAAAAAAACCCTTACATCATCTCTACCAATCCAATGAAATGTGAAGCAAAATAAAGTAAATCTCTTTAGGCAAATACCCAGAATGTATTGTCAGCCAAAGCACACTGCCATTTCATTATCAACCAAAGCAAGCTGCCACCAAAACTAATGATCTTAAATCCAATAATGTGTCATATTTCATAGTTACTTGATTAGCTTCTAATGTCAGATATCAGGTGCATATTATCCTTTTCCAAGGAAAAGAAGTTTCTAACCAGTCAAACAATGTTTAAAGATAAGTGTATACAGTAATCAAATCATAGAACGAACAGCAACTATTCATGACCTGATGCTCGCACATCCTCAGAAATACTCGTAGCTGGCTGCTTTCTGTCCTTTCTTGTACCTCTGTTAATAGAAAGCACACCAACTCCTGAGGAAAACTAGTTGTGACTGTCAGTAATTTCTTATATGGAGCCAAAATCTCTTCTTTTATACATACATTCTCTATTTTTCATTTTTAGTAGAATGCTTTGAACAATATCACTTGAGTTTATTTTTATAACTAGAATTAGAGAGTATATTTTAGAGTAAGTCATTCATTCTTTGAATTAATGGAGCTAGATTGTTACATTCATTCATTCATTTATTCAACTGTATAAGCACCTATGCTCATCTAGATAATGGTAAACAACATGAACATGAGTGTTTAAAATAGGCCTTGAACCAAGATCTGTGTGATTCTAAACATTATTCCTTAAAACAGCTACTATCTGTATTGTATCCCTTACACTTTACAGCATAAAGATTACAAGAATGTTCTGAGTGGTTTTGTAGTCTGAACTTTACCTAATTCTATACACCCTACTATGTCTTCCAGATTAATCTTCCTAATTCATAGTCTTCATCATCATTAATTATTCAAAAACTTACTTTGGTTTTCCAAGTACAATGCAAATACTTTGGCCTGATCTTAATGTCCTTCTGCAAATTAACCACCACCTAAAATTCCAGTATTACCTCCTAGAGCAATCTCATCTACTCTTCTTGTTTCAATATATCACCAAAAAACTGATGACACCCAAATGTATAACCTCATCCCAGCTTTCTCTTCTGGACATTTTATGGTGGTATCTCATGGAAAAATAACAAATAAAACACACTTCTTTCCAGCCAGCCAATGGCATGGTGGTTAGAGTGACTGGATCCTACATAGCCAACTGTGAGGCTGGAGATGGGACTTGGCAGCCTGGAAAACATGGTGTGTGTGTGTGTGTGTGTGGTGTGTGTGTGTGTGTGTGTGTGTGTATAAGCCCAGAATCCCAAAAGGAAATGGAGGAGAGGAGTTTTACATTTAAAGTATGACCATCTCCTCTGGGAAATGCTTTCTCGCTTTCCTTCTCTTTCTCTCTCTGTCTTTCTCTGGTGAGTGCACATGGCCCTATAGCAAATAAAACTTTTTAAAAAAATAAATAACAGTTTCTTTCACAAACCATATATATATATTTTTTGTGGGGGGGGGGGGGGCTATAGGGGGGGGGCGCCACCGCCAGACAGACAGAGACAGAGAGACAGAAACCGAGAAATCATCCCCCAGGGGGGATGGCCATGTCGTAATCCCTTCTCCTCCCTTCTCCTCTCGGGATCTTGGGCATGCAGCCACATGCGCCCGGCGTGAGTTTTAAGCCACAGGGTCCAGGACGCAAACCACAGTCAACTGTGAGGGAGTCCAGTGACATAGCTATTACACTAACTGCTGGTCCCTACAAACCATATTAATTTATGCCATATTATCTTCCAGCTACTTTTCTATTACAAAAAAGAAGTATTTCTTCTTCAGAAATTCCCTTCTACTTTTGGGAAAATTTCCTAAAAGCTTTAAATTACTCGTAAATGTATGTAAGATCAAGATTCTACCTAACTCTTCAGCCTCATCTTACAAACTCTCACTTCTTACCATTCAGCTCGTGTTCAAGCAAAATTGAACTTCTTTTAAGTCTTAGAACATACCATCTCTTAATATCATGATCTTTCTCTTCTTTCTCTCTTTGCATATGCAATTCCTTGTGTCTCAAAAATTCACCAGCTGCTCTCCATTTACTTGCTTAATTGCTATTATCCTTCTTCCAGGGTCTTCTGGAGATGTCCTCCCAGAACCCTCGTCTGAGTTAGGCAGCCCTCCTGTATACTCTTGTAGCATCCTATACCTTCCTTAATAGAGCACTTATCACACATTATTACGATTGCATGTTTAATAATCTGCTCCCACAATACTGCAAGCCTCTTAAGAGGCTTTTGATCATTGTGATTCCATAATTGAGCCTAGTGCTTGGTGTATTTTAGACCACTTAGTGTATATATTTTTCTCTTAGAACCCCTATCTCACTAATGTCACTACCAAATCTGTGTACAATACCAAAACTTAAAACACTGGACACCAAAATATCTTTCTATTTGTAACATCTCAGCTAGTCTCAATACCATTTCCCCCTTATGTCTAAATTAATAACTGCAATAGCTTCCTAGTTGGTC